CAGCAGTTATTAATAATCTGCGGATTGAATTAAATATGCAGAATTATAATAAATTTAACAATGTGCTTTTATTTTAATGAAAACTTTAAATGGCTCTACTGAACATTTAACCTAGTGGCGCTTAAAACAAATAAGCTTTCACCGATCGATATGTATTTTGTGTGTTTAGGGTAAGAAGGGTGCGTGGTGGTGGAGCGGGGAGGGCGCGGTGCAGATGCACTCGCGGCTGCGGCGCGCGCTGGCGTGCTGCGAGCTCGGCCTGGTGCAGGTGTACGTGCCGGCTCAGAGCGTGTCGGCGCGCGGCACCCGCCCCATGCGCGCTATGGCAGGCCTCGCCAGCCTCCGGGACGCTGTTGAATCACACGCCGCCGAGAAACCAGTTTTAGTACTCAGGTACATGACATTCCATTACTTCACAACCCAATCTCACACGTTTATCATCTAACTAGTTGTTGAAATTAAACAAACTTTATTGTATTGTTTACATTTGTTAAATTCTGAATTGCAACTGCCAATTACCATTACCTGCTTTTTTAATGTTGGCAACTTGTAGTTTATGATCCCTTTCCCACTTGCAGGTTTTTTCCAATTTATCTACCCCCCAAACTTGAATAGCGTGATAATACATAGCCCAAAGAGTGTTGTATGTGTAGGGCTTTTTATTAAAAAAAAATCCAAAAACATGCCGTGGTTGCTGACATCTTACGCCACAGAGTAGTGTGTGTTTACGCTTTATTATATTAGTATAGACGAAAAGATTACCCCCGACGTACCTTGTTTTTTTTTTTTTGTTATAACTATATATCATTGTAGTCACATCTATGATTCTTATTTAAAAAACTCATTTTATATATTTCAGTCTGGGTCACTTGACAATGCATTCCAACACGATGGTCAAACACCTTTGGAACGATATCAGACACGACGGTCCTACATACATTGCAGCAAAGCCAGAACTTATCAGTAAGTCATATTAATCATAATTAATTTCAACATAATATGAAATAACTACTTCTTTGACATAACAAATGGAAATTAATTGGACCTATGATGATATTCAGACTATTTTAATAGTCTCCAGACTCCAGATATGATCATTCAGGTCAAATTATAAACACAGTCGTCCATCTGTTTAATCCGTCCGTTCCTTAATCTATCCTATCTATCTATACATATAATGAAATTGGAGTGTTTGTTTGTAATATTAAAACAAAAATTCCACATTTCGGGATGATGATGTATTTTCGTTGCTGATAACAAAAATCGCATTTAATAAATTTTTGTCTGTCTGTCTGTCCGCAAGCCGCGTTTGTTCCGCGTAA